AATTATAGAAAGTTGATTTTTTAATACTTTTTTCCTGAGAAATCCTATTTAATCATTACAAGCTTAATTTATTTTACATGCTTGATAGTTAAAATATCTGCTTTAAAGTTGTGTGTTAAATCCAGCACCTGGGTCATCTTGGGGTTAGTCTCCATTGATTGAGAATAGGTCACATTTCCTGTTTTTTCCTATATCTATTAACTTTGGATTGTGTCCTAAACATGTATATGATAGGGTGTGGAGACTCTGGATTGTTAAATATCTCCAAAGAGTCTTGTTTTTTGTTTTTGTTTCCTTTTGAGACGTATTTGTTTTAGTTCCTAATTAACCTGACTGGACTCAAATTCAAAATTCAGTCTCCCTTCAGTGGGTGGCAGCTGAAATCTGTTTTCTTCTTTTCTTTTTGCCTTAACTGAAATATTTTCACTAATTTTTAATTTACCAAAATAGTATTGAGTTCTAAAAATTACTGCTCCTTACTTTTTATTAGTCCAGCTCTGTGCTTATTAAATATATTATTGTTGCTGTGTATACATTTACTCTGTTGCTTCTTGTTGCTTTGTAGTAGCTCTGTTAATTACCCTGTTAACGTTAGACATCTGGCCTGGGGTGCATGGGTACCACTTTTTGTGCTGAAAGAATGAAAAGTTGTTGTCTTAATACAAAATAGAGATAGGCAAGAGCATAACTTAAAAGCTCTTCTGCAAGCTCTCTTCTCACTGCCTCTTCTGGGAATCTTTCATGCTAGCCTCAACAGCTCCCTCATCTTCCTACCCCAGTACATATATTAGTTCAGGCAACTTTCAAACTACCCAAGAATTTCCTAGAGTTTCTTTTGTTAATTCTTTTTAAAAATATTTTTATTTATTTATTATTAATATTATTTATGCCTACAGCACAAGGTCTTCCTAGGTGGTCTCCTGTCCAAGTACTAACTAGGCCCGACCCTGCTTAGCTTCCAAGATCAGACATCGGGCTTGTTCAGGGCGGCATGGCCGTAGACCATGGACTGTGGCTCTACTGGGGCGTGAACCCAGGAATTTCTGCATGTAAAGCAGACGTACTAACTGCTACACTATGGAACCACATCCTCTTTTGTTAATTCTTGAAACCTGTACTTTTCTCTCACTTCCATTGTTTCTTCTATGCAATTTTTATAGGCGATCCAAAGAAGCTTATGCTAACTTGCTATTCTTGAGGAGCAAAAAATGCTCTCTGATCTTCTTTCTCTACTAAGCACTATCTCTGTTTTCCCAACCTTCGTAGCTAGATGATACATTAGAAAAAGGGAGATCAGAAGAAATTAGGTACAACATGTAAATTCTGAGAAAACCTTAATGGAAATAAAATCTTCCATTTCTCCAAACTTTAGGTAGAGATACATTTAAGAAAAAAAAATCAGTATCGACCTAGAGAATTCCTCATACATATGTATAATGAAACATTAACAAGGTTTTTCATTGCTGCATATAAACATTAGCCAAAAAATTGGAAAACCTAAATAATCATCAGTAGACAATGGTTAAATAAATAATGGTTCATTCAAACCATGAAGAATGATGAATTAGCTAAAATGAATTAAGTAGACCTCTCTATATATTGACCGGGGAAGAATTTGTAAGGAATATCATTAAGTAAAAAGAAGTCGAAGAATCATTTGTTTAGTATAATATCACTTATGTAAAAATAAAATAGCATCCATTAAACCAAATTATATATTTCTATATATGCATGCATACTTATGTACTTGCATAGAAAAAGGATGGGAAGCAAACGTACCATGCCATATTGACATGTCTCTTAGAAGGAAAGTAGAATCGGCAGAGTGGTGAAAGGGAACTTTCACTTTATTTGTATTGTTTCATCTTTTTATCATGAAAATGTTGATTACTTATTTAATTTTTAAAGTCAATGAAGGACTTAGAATTTAAAAGTGACATTCACTGAGTATCTTTTTTCCTACAGAAAAGAAAAACCTGTTTAAAGATGTCCTGTCACGTTTGAACATGGATAGGAGCAGAAAGCTTCTGCCAGATTTTGTTAAACAATTCTCCTTAGATCGAGGATGTAATTGGACACCCCAGACTCCAGGAGACTTAGCCTGGAATTTCCTGATGAAAGTTCAAGCACTGGATGTGACAGCTAGAGATTCAGTCCTCAGACACAAGGTTCTGTGTGAGGATAGCAAAGGGGAATTGCCAACTGGAATTGAGAATTTGGAAATGAGAGACATACAAACCATTAATCCCCTCGATGTCCTTTGTGCCTCTATGCTGTGTTCAGACAGTTCTTTGCAACGCAGAGTCTTGTCAAGCATGTATCAATGCCAGTTTGCTCTTCCTCTGCTACTGCCAGATGCGGAAAACAACAAAAGCATTTTAATGCTGGGGGCCATGAAAGACATTGTGAAGAAGCAGTCAACACAGTCTTCAGGAGGGCCTACGAGGGAAACAGAAACATTTCTGACCCTCATAAAGGTACCTGTCATCTCTTTTGTACGTCTAGGAAACTGTAGCTTCTCCAAGTCCAGAATCCTCAACACACTGCTCAGCCCCACCCAACAGAAATCACAGAAAATCTTTCTCCATCAGGATTTGCCTGTTCTAGTGCTTCCCCGGCAAATCTCTGATGGTCTGGTTGAAATAACATGGTGTTTTCCTGATAGTGACAGTCTAAAGGAAAACCCTAGTTTTTCCCAAAAGCCTGTTGCTGTGGCCAACCTTCGTGGAGATCTAGAAAGTTTTTGGACACAGTTTGGTTTCTTGATGGAAGTTTCCTCAGCTGTGTTTTTTTTCACTAACTGCCTAGGTGAGAAGGAATGGAACCTGCTCATGTTTTTAGGGGAAGCTGCCATTGAAAGATGCTATTTTGTCCTCAGTCCCCAGGCCAGGGAGAATGAAGAGGCTCAGATATTCCAGAGAATTCTGAAGTTGAAGCCATCACAGTTACTGTTTTGGGAGGAGGAGGAAGCTGGGGATAAAGGGAAAAACATAAAGGGCCTCCAAGCTGCCCTCCAAGAAGTGATGTCCTCTTCACTCAGATGTGTGTCTGTGGAGGACATGGCCTCCCTGGCCAGGGAGTTGGGGATCCAGGTAGACCAAGACTTTGAGAATGTTCAAGGAATTCAAGTTTCCCCTGGTGAAAACTTGGCTGGAACAGTTGAAGATGAGGGACAACAAAGACACAGTCCACCACAAAGCTCACCTGGAAACCCTGCGGAGAAGCCTATGAAAGAGCCAGTGGCTGGTTGTGAGGTCAGCCAGACGCTTCAGAATATCCACCTCAGCCCAGTATTCACGCGTCATCTGCAAAACTCCTGTCTCTTACCAGTCAGAATTGGATGTAACTTTAACCATGTTTCTCTGAAAGCCCCTTGGGTTAGGGGCTCCCACTTTTGGTCAGAGCAGAAAACTAAGTGGTTCCATCCTTCACCCTTTCAGAATGCAAGGGTCCACAGTCGAGGTAAAGGTTTTGGGATTCAATACTTTCAACCCCGGAGATTTTATTCAGGGGAAAGATTTATGAACTTTTCGAGGCCTCCTCAAGGACGTCATGTACATGGAACATTTGTGAGACCACCAAGACCCCTGTGTCACCGTGTACAGGCCTGGCCTGAGGGATCTCGTGAAAGGTCTGCCAGAGTGGTCTCCCAGGTAGGTCATCTCCATTCCCTGAGTTCACAACCAGTGGGACCATTTGGGAAGCCACAGTCTGGGCAAGCCCATGCCTGGAGAACACAGACACCTGAGGCAACTGGAAAAGTTATGAGAACCACATCTCATACTGTGAATCCTCACCCTCAAGCCTTTCAGCCAGCAGGAGTCGTACAGAAACCTACAAGACCTGCCTTTCAGCAAGGATTCAAGCAGAAGATGGAACGTGGGCCTTCAAATCCAGTTTTCCGTATGGGATCCCATCCCATGTCCAACAGCAAAGTTTTACCTAGCTCTCAGTTCAAATCCAATCAGCCCCAGCCCTCCCAGGTCCAACATTCCCAGCCCAAACCCTTCCAACCTATGCCCTCTCAACTCAAACGCACTCAAACGAAAGCTACTCAGCCCCAGCCCTCCCAAGCTAAATGCTCTCCATCCAAACCCACTCAGCCCAAGCCGTGCCAACCTCAGTCCTCCCAATCTAAGCCTTCTCAGCCCAGATCTACTCAGCCCAAGTCATCTCAAACCAGGCCTTCACAAGCTAAGGCAGGGCCCAAGAGAGTCGGGAAGCATTGAAGTGCTTAATCTAGAGACCTGTGAAACATACCCTTTACCCAGGCCATTCCTGTCAGATAGTAACCTGAAATAGAGTGACAATGATTCAAAGAGACTATCATTAGCATGACATAGAAAAAGATGGTAGGCACAACCTAATTGGATATCATTAAAATATCTGTAAGAATTGTGTCCCTAATAAGGAGGAAAATTATGAAAAGAATTGATAATAGAATCAGGCAGTAAATAAATTAATTGAATTAAATAAAAAATTAATTGAATTTAACCTTGAGTATTAGCTAATAGATTATCTGAATCCAGGGAATGGGGGGTTGTTTCACCTGAGAAAGAATGGGGTTAGAATCTCTAATTGCAAAGTGATCATAAAATAGGTTGCCTCAATGTTGCAAATAAAATTGCCCTCGATATTGGCTGCTCCAGGGATGTCTTGGTCAAAAATTTTGGTTCAATATCAGCCACTAAACAGATAACCCTGTTTATTGGAAATGTTTAAATCAATTTGCTTGCGATAACAGTTCCAATTTGTTTAGATGATAAAACGCTCTCATTTGACCCTTACATATAGAAATAATGAACTAACAACCAATGAAATTATTTTGCATTAACTTTAAGAATGATTTGTGTATGTTTCATATTTAAAATATTTGTAATAGTTAAGATAATTGACTTATTCTTAGAGGATCAGATATTTTAATCTCATGATTCCAGCTTAAAATGTATAATTGAGTTTTTTAATTTTAGAGTTTTTTTTTAATTGAAAAGATTAAGATCAGTTTACAGAGTTTGTTAAAAGCATTGAAATGTTTAAGAGAACATTCCAGAATTTACAATTTTAATTTATTAGATTTATTTTTGTTCTAAACATTTTGGCTAAGTTCTGCTAGTTAGAAACATTAAGTAAAAGGAATACATTAAATTTAAAATACTTATGTGAAGTTTAATTAACTAAGTTTGTAAATGACACAAAATATAAATAAAAAGTTAACTTTAAAGGTAGACGTTAAGGTTCACTAGATAGAAATAATAAGATTTGTAAATTGAATTAAGAGCCCTGGTTTTTGAATTTGTAACTTTTATAAAATTAACATTACTTTTAAGTACTAACATAGCCTTAAGTTGTTTTTTCTGGGTAAAAAAAAAAATTGCCTTCAAGGGCACGCAAAAAAATTATATTGACAAATAGATGAGAAGTGATCTTTGAAAAGGTGTAATTAACCTCTGAGAACATTTTATCCTACAATAGGTATCCTTCATTTGTTTGTGCGTGTATTAAACAGTCAATATCGAGTATTTAGATGATGTTCAATCTCTCTAAAGGTTATTATAAGGGTGAAGAAATAGAGGACTATGCGTGTGAATTTTTGTCTTTGTCTTTTGACAGGAGGAAAGTATAACTAGTTCATAACTGCAAAATCTTTGATGTAAAACTGGTGTTTCTCAACTGAAAATAATGTTGTTTAAGATTTTGAAATGAGAAATAGAAATGAAGTTTTAAAAAAACTTTTCTGTGAATTCTTTAAGATTAGTTCCTGGAGGACAGAACTAGTTGGCTTATTGTCACCAACAGATTCTGTATCTGTCTGGATCTTGACCACACCTATATGGCACATTCAAACTGGACACTTTGAGGGGAGTTTGATAAAGGGACCATTTATAAAGGCCTGAGCAAAATGTAAAAACAGCACGAAGGCAAGAGCAGCATCCTGGGTTTAGTAAAAACAAGGCCTATTACCACCCAAGGTCTGAAGGGCAGGGAAGGGGAGTGCTTTCTCCAGTCAAAGAACTGTGTGGAAGGGGTCTTGGGCCTGGTTGAGTGGGGAGTACAGAAGGCTGCAGTGACCCACAGGGAGGTATCTCAGGAAATAAATATCCATTCCTTGACCTCTGATCTGCCAGTGTGTCCATTTGGCCAAATCCAACCAGAAACCAGAGAATAAGGAGCCCACCTAGGCAGTTCATGTAGGTCAACCTTTTAGGGTTCAGAGCAGGTTGGAGAGTGGATCTAGAGGGACAAACAGAAGACACCCAGCATATTCTCCCTTTCCATTTCATTCTTCCTTTTTACCTTTTCCTCCTCTCGCATTTTTTTTCGAGCATTTATTATGTGCAAGGCATTGGATTAGGAACTGAGAAGACATGGAAACAAAATGCGAAATCCTTGTATAGTTGTGCCATCCTATAAGTCTTTGTATTTCCTCCTTATTATAAAACTATAAGCTCATTATGCATAGTTTTGTATAATGAGCTTATTTCTGTATACATACAGAAATAGACAAAGAAGAAACATAAAAATAATCTGTAATCTCATAACAGTAATCTCATAATGTTGTAATGTAGTCCTCTAACTCACTAATAATATTTTTCCATGTGTATATATTTATAGGCAGCGTTCATTTATAATTTTGAGTCTGTGCTAGGGCCAAATGTGGCAAAGTCAAACACACTGTTAGGGCCAGGCAGTATAAATAGCATGAGATGTTGGTTTTCCAGATGTCTTAAGAAAGTCTGAATTCATGACATGAAATATAGTTTAAGGGTGTCTTTTGTATGATGCACAAGTCCAATTATTTTAAGTCAAACATGCAAAAATTCAGAACCAATTTACTAAATTGAGAGCATTTAATTTGTACCTGACATTTTTTGTGAGCAGACTGAAGCGTCTATCCAATGATTTATCTTTTTTAACATCTCAAAATTCTTTCTTAAACACCTTAAATCAATTTATATTTTGTACAAGAAAGCAAATAAAAATTACTTTTTCAACATTAAAAAAAGTGTGTTTTTTGTTGCAGTGCTTGAAAGGAGTATACTTCAATGTGATACAAATACTGGCCATAGGGACACAACTGACTCATAAATCATATTAGCTTCATAAATCTAGGTTTTACCTGCATACATGGTGACCTCCTGCATTTCCTTATGTCTTCCTGCATTTCCTTATATCTTAGAATTCTTAAAAATATATTTTTTTTATTTTTCAATTACAGTTGGCATATAATATTATATTAGTTTCAGGTGTACAGCGTAGTGATTAATCATTTATATAACTTTTGAAGTGATCACCTGATTTATCTAGTGCTCATCTGACACCATACATAGTTATTACAATATTATTGATTATACTTATGCCATACTTTACATCCCCCTAACTGTGTTGTTACTACCAATTTGTACTTCTTAATCCTTTCCCCTCTTTCACCCACCCCCTAACTCCTTTCCATCTGGCAACCCTCAAAATCTTCTTTGTATCTATGAATTTGTTTCTGTTTTGTTTATTTTGTTCCTTAGATTCCACATGTAAATAAAATCATATGGCATTTGTCTTTCTCTGTCTGACTTACTCCCCTCAGCACAATACCCTCTGTCTAGGTCCATCCATGTTGTTGCAGATGGCAAGATTTCTTTTTTCTTTCTTTTGTTCTTTATTTTTTTATAGCCAACTAATATTCCATTGTATATATGTGCAATCTCTTCTTTATCCATTTATCCATTAATGGACACCCCGGTTGCCTCAATATCTTGGTTATTGTAAATAATGCTGCAATGAACATATGAATGCACATGTCCCTTCAGAGTAGTATTTTGGGTTTCTTAGGATAAATACCCAGAAGTGGAATTACGAGGTCCTTTATCTCTTTTTAGAGCCTTCATTTTAAAGTCTATTTTGTCTGGTATAAATATTGCTACCCTAGCTTTTTTTTTTTTTTTTTTCTGTTTTCATTTTCATGAAATATCTTTTTTTATCCTTTCGCTTTTGTCTGTCTTTTGATCTGGAGTGAGTCTCTTGTAGACAGCATATGTAAGGGTCTTGTTTTCTTATCCATTCAGCTACCCTATCTTTTGATTGGAGCATTCAATCCTTTTTTCATTTGAAGTAATTGTTAATATGTAATTATTGCCATTTTATTATTCATATTTTTGATATATGTATCACAAACCACTGGAAGTGGCTTGGGGTGGGCCTGCATGTTGAGAGGGGAAGGGTTTCAGGGAATCACCTGGGCAGGGCAACCTTCGTTAGCCAGGTTCATGGAGCTCAGATATTGCGGCCACTTGCACCCTACACCAGGAGTGGGGCGGGGGGTCTCAGCGAAGGAACAGTGTACTCTGCCAGCACTTCTGTCCAGGAGAAAGACGCCCCTCCAGCCCTTGCACTGAAGTCAGACAATTCAGTTTCTCCCCATATGTCCCTGGCACTCCCTGAGCAGCTGCCCCAGCACTGGAGCTCAGAGCAAGTGAGTCTGTCACCGAGTATGTCCATGAGTGGGCCCTTTAAGAGGAACACCTGGGATGCCCACAACCCTCTGTCTCACTCAGCCACAATCTCTGCTGGTTTTCACAGCCAGAGATTGTGGTGACTTCTCTTCCTGGCAATGGAACCCTGGACTGGAGATCCTAGTGTGGGGTTGCGACCCCTCCCTTTTCCAGGGGGACCTCTGCAGCCAAGATATCCTTTCTGATTCTCAACTGCCACATGTGGTTGTGGGACCAGCCCATTTTGCATCTCTGCCCACCCTACCAGTCTCGTGGTGCCTCTTCTGTATGTTCCCAGTTGTAGAACTTCTGTCAGCCAGACCTCAGGCAACTCCCAATGATGCTTGTTCTGTAGTTTAGTTGTAATTTTGATGTGGTCGTAAGAGGAGGAGAACATAGCATCTACCTATTACTCCATCTTGACTGAAGCCCTGTCTTAAAAATTTTTATAGTCTCCTTTTGTGATTAAGGTATAGTTCGCTTTCCAATATTTGCTCCATAGGATTCATGTAAATAAAGTGTCTGTTGGGGAGGAAAATATGACACCGACTACTAAAGATTCAGGAATCTGAGTTAATGGGTGGCTTTAAGTGCTAATTGGCTAAAGGTAGTTATTGTTTAGGAAAAAAGCTAAGATGCTATAGCAAATAGAAAGCAAAAACATAGTGGCTTAAATAGTATGGGAGTTTATTTTTCCCTTATGAACCATTCAGCCTGTCTAGGCTGATGGAGCAGCTCTTCTTATTAAGATTAATCATGAACTAAGTTTTTTTCACCTTGTTCCTTCTAATTGGGCATTGTCTTTTCTGCATGGTTGAAGCCGATCTCGATCATTTTCTTGATCTGATTTAGAGGAAGGTGAAAAAAGACAAAATCCATAGAAATCAGCCTGACTTTAAGTTAGAGATGACTTGGAAATGACATGTCTTTCGATCATATCCCATTGGCTTAAACTTGGTCATTTGGCTACGTGTAGCTGCAAAGGAGGTTAGGAAATATAGTCATTAGCTGAGAGGTCATTCTTCTAGGAAGAAGGGGAGAGGCAGTAGTTTGCCAGAATATCATAGAATATCAAGAATATCAGAGGCCCAGAAGAGGAAGATAAATCATCACACGGCATCCTAAAAAAAATATCAAATATTTCTTCTCATCACCTTAATCATATTATTTTGCTATTTATTATGTGATATAAATTATTTTCGTGATGGGAAGGGGTGGTAATCGCCTGAACCGAAGAGAGAATTTTGAATAATGTTGTAATGAAGAAAGGATTTTAGAGTATGTACTCTTTTAAATAAAATAAGCTTGCTATTGTGACCTGGGTACTGCCTGCCCTGACCCTCAATTATAATAGAAATATAAACTAGACTGTGCCCTAATCCAAGGTGTTGATATTCTTCACACTTTTTTGGCAAGTTCCCCTAAATTTTAAAGCAGTGTGGTTCTATAATTTGAGCATGCATAAATACTACCTGAGGTGGTTGTTAAAATTGCATATTGTCCACCTAGGAATACCAGGTGCTTTAGGCATTAAAAAAAAAAATTGTATATTGTTGTGGTTTTCCCCCACAGATTCTGATGTAGTCATCCTAAGGAATAGCCTCTTAGCAGAAACTCCCATGGAGGCAGAAGATTCTGGGGCCACATTCTGAAAAATCTAGATACAGCCTTGCCTGCAAACCTGTTTTCTGGTGCTCAGAGAAAGAAAATTTTGTCTGGGCCAGAAATTCAGGCTGGGATAATTTTCCTTCATTATCATTCTCATTAAATTCATTATTCATCTCCTGCTGGGAGATGAATAATGAATTTAAAATTGGGCACTAAAAAAGCTGGTGTAATGAGGTGATAATGAGGTGAACACTTTTATCCATTTAAGATTAGGGCTGTTTTACGTATAGATTTCTGTATTTAACACCTCTCATTTTGTCTGCAAGTTTTTACCTGATTACATTTAAAAGTTGCCCTTTTATTTATTTATTTTTTAATGTGCTGCTTTTTCTTTGCTCCATGGCTCAGACTCGATTTCTTTCTCAAGCCTCGATCCTTTCTTCTTCTTGCCCAATGTCTTTCTTTCACTAATGGGAGAATGACTCTGCTACGGATTAATGCAATGTCGTTGTTGCCTTAGGTCCTGATTTGACTCTAGAATGTCTCTAGGCCTTACAGACTAGATAACTTTCTCTGGGATGGCGGAGGCGGAAAGAAGGAATAGATCGAGATACTGAGATGTGCTGTCCTTCCCAAGGGCCCCTGCTTCCATCCCCAGTCCTTGGAAATCCCCAACCCCATTTCCACCCCAGGGTGAGCAATAAAACCCAGAGAGATTTGAATTCTGTAGGCCTTTAATATCTGTTCCACTTCCTATAATTGGACTGAGTGAAGGGATCAGGTAAGCGGGGAGGAAATACTATCAATACAAAAGTATATCTGTTAGTACTTCAAATATCCCATCACAACAGTGGCCTGGGTAGTGGGGTCAGAGTGACGAGAGCAGCTTGAGGAAGGGCAGGGTTTAAGGTGCAGGCAGAGGAGGAGGACTGGATGGAGAAGAGCCGAGAGGGGTGCCATGTGGAAGCCCTGGGTGGGGTGTTTCAAGAGGACAGCAGAGACCGTCCTGGGCACTTTATCAAACTGGGGCCAATTTCCTGACTTTTGGAGTAGACCTATTTTTGATACTTTTAAGGTAAGAAATGAGAGGGAATTTTCAGAAACTAAGAGATAGGTGTCAAAGGATTATTCTGCTGCCTCTTTACTCTGCCCAAACTGTATTTAAAATTATCCAAATATTACCCATAGAGTTTCAGCCATGGGGAGTGTGCTGCTCGGTTCTCCCTTCATCACAGATCCTGCTGTGAGGAGTGTAGCTATGCTGCCCTGGGAATCCACTGCAGCTTTCCAGAAACCACACTCTGGGCTGGCTGTTCTCCGCCAATGACTGAGCATGGGGTCATGGGGGCG